CAGATTGGCTAACATGACAAAACAGGACAATGATAAATGTTGGAAAAGATGTGGGAAAATTTGAACACTAATGCATTGTTGGTAGAGTTATGAAATGACCCAACCATTCTGGAGAGCAATTTGGAACTATAGCCCAAAGAGCTATAAAATTGACCCAGCAATACCGTTTCTAAGTCTGTATCCCAAAGAGATCATAAAAATGGGAAAAGGACCTACATGTACAAAAATATTTATAGCATACTATTCGCTCTCCTTTTCCTTTGTTGTTTTGTTTTATTGATTCATTCTTGTTCCTCTCATTAGTTCTAATTGTTCTTTACATCATGACTAATGTGAAAATATGCTTAATATGAATGTATAAGTATAGTCTATATCAGATTGCATGCATCTTGGGGTGGGAAGGAGTGGGAGAGGGAGAACATTTAAAACTCAAAATCTTATGGAAGTGAATTTTGAAAACTAAGAATAAATAAATTAATTATAAAAAAAAGAAAAGAAAACTGCCCAGCTCTCTTACAACCAGAGAGAATTCACCCCCTGGTCACCCCCTGAAAGAAATCCCAAAGTAAAAACTCCCAGAAACATTACAGCCAAAATCTATGGTTTCCAGTTCTAAGAAAAAAAAATATTGAAGGCAGCCAGAAAGAAAGAATTCAAGTACCAGGAGCTACAGCCAGAATCACACACAATTTTTCGGCCACCATTAAAAAGGAATGAAGAGCTTAGAACATAATATTCCATAAGGCACAGGATATTGGCTTACAGCCAAGGATTACTTGCCCAGCAAAACTAAGTATAATCCTACAGAGGAAGGAATAATGGGGGTAGGGGGAATGAACCTTTAATGAAATAGATGGACCTCCAAACACTCCTAATTAAAAGACCAAAGCTGTGTTGCAACTTTGAAGTTCAAACAAAGTAGTTAAGAGAAACATTAAAAAGGTAAACATGAAGGAACAATAATAAAGGACTAGACAAGGATAAACTGCATATATTCTAATATAGAGGGATGATATATGTGTCCTCTATGAACCCTAACATCATCTGAGGTCAGAGTGGGAGTCTAACTAGACAGAAGGCTTGGGAGTAATTTCGTTAAATCTTGATGATCTTAATAGAAGAATAGAAAGGGAGGGGAAGAGGAACACACTTGGGAGAAGAAAAAGGAATGCTAAGGAAAATCATCTCACATTATCTGGATGTGCAAGTAGACATCTATATAAATAAGGAGGAGGGGGTGGAAGAGGTGGCCAACACTTGAACCGCACTCTCATTTGAACTGAGTAAGGAAAGGAAGAATGCACATATAAGCACATGGATTAGGTACAAAAATACATTTCACTCAATAGGGAAATAGAAGGGGAGAGAGGAGATTAGTACTAGGCAAAACCAATCCTAAGGATGTACAAAAATATTTATGGCTCTTTTTGGGGTAGCAAAGTATGGAAATCTAAAGAGGTGCCTATAAATTAGGGGATAGCTGAAAAGTTATGGTATATAAATGTGATGGAATACTATTGTACTATATTGTGTATATATATATATATATATACTATATATACAATCTTATTGTACTATAAGAAATTATGAAGGGGATACTTTCAGAGAAATCTGGGAAGACTTACATGAACTGATGAAGATCGAAGTGAACAGAACTAGGAGAACAATTTATACAAAGATACATGGTAAAGACAACTGACTTTGAAAGAATTAAAACTCTGATCAGTATAATAACCAGAGGACTAATGATGAAATATGCTACCCACCTCCTGATATAGAAGTGAAGGACTTCACTTCTCAGAATGAGATGCAATTTTTTTGCACATGGTCAATGTGGACATATGTTTTGCTTGATAATACATATTTGTAACAAGAGTTTTGTTTTTCTTTCATTCTTAGTGGGGGCAGGGTAGAAAAGGTGGATTTATGATGATTGAAAAAAATATAATAAAAATCATGCACCACCAGAGAATATGTATTTTATCTAATATCTGAATCTAATTCATCCACAGAGGTTGTTTGCTGTAAGATCTATGCCACCCTGTAGCTGAATTGAGCCAAGCACCTGTTTTCTCCTTTAAGCCTGTCACCAGAGCAAACTGGCCAGGTTAAGGTTAGTAAAGACTTATGATCACTTCCATTTACTAGTAGCTACCCGGCCAGTTGAGACAGCCAAGTGGTGCTGCAGTGGATAGAGAACTGAGCTTGGAATTGGGAAGACCTGAGTTCAAATCCAGCCCCAGACACCTACTAGATGTGTGATCCTGGGCAAGTCACTTAACCCTGTTTGCCTCAGTTTCCTCATTTGTAAAATGAGTTGGAGAAGGAAATGACAAACCATTCCACTATCTCTGCCAAGAAAACCCCAAAAAGG